ATATATGTATATATGTATATATATATGTGTATATATGTATATATATATGTGTATATATGTATATATATATATATGTATATATGTATATATATATGTGTATATATCATATATGTATATGTATATATATATGTGTATATATATATATATAAACATGCATATATGTATATATATATAAATAAATATATATATATATATGTATGTATGTATATATATACATGTATATATAGATATACATATACATGTATATATATATATATACATATACATGTATATGTATATATATACATATACATATACATGTATATATATACATATACATATACATGTATATATATATATACATATACATGTATATATATATATATACATATAGATGTATATATATATATACATATACATGTATATATATATATACATATACATGTATATATATACTCCGTTTGTTTAAGCCACTTTAGGCATGTAAATCTTGTAAAGGAAGAGACAGAATATAACCTGTATCAACAAATATCTTCATGTTCATCATTTCTCGAACACGTGGATCGTGGAATACTAAAATCCCTTCCAAAATAATTACATCTGAAGGATTGACCTGTAAAGAACTATAAATGTTGGTCGGATACACTAATAAGTGAAAACTTCTATCTGAGAAATAGAAGAATAGATTTTTCCACAAGCAGAAATAGAATTGAAAAATATAATGCATGTAATGTCACTCTAATTTAGGAAAATAACCAAGCTTATGCAAAGGTAACTTATGTTGATACTTTCTGAAATACTTTCAGTTCAATTCTTTGCATCCATATGAAAATTCTGGTAAAGATAAATATCCTCTTGGAATATTAAACTGCAATATTGCATTACTGTGTAAAGTTGAATACAAGGAATCACACGAGTTTATTACATTAGACATACCTTTCTTGCTGGCAATTTCCTCTTGTTAGATTTGAAATCATAGTTTGGGACATCAACAGCTAGCCCATGCCTCAGCTTCTCCATACAGCAAAGCAAATTTTCAGTGTCAAAAGCATCTGAATCAAGAGATGTATCATTACAAAAAAAAGTATTGGAGAAAAAAAATCATGCATGTCACTCAAATGAGAAATATGAAGGATGCAGTACTCCATCTGATTAGACTGTGCTATTAGCTCATGTAGAGTCCACTTCTATGAACACATATACAGATCTCGGAGGCAAAAGTTTTGCAAGAAAAAGGAAACAAGCTGATTTAAGTGAAAAGGTGCGTCCAGAAAAAGTAAGGAAGGACATCAAAGCCTTTAAAAAAGCTTCCTTGCAAATCAACCAAGATCAGCAAGAAGGCAAGAGCATCTCAAAAACCAACTTTTGGCCGAAGAAAAATGATTGTTAATAGAAATAGATGTATCCTAAATTTAGAGGAGGTTAGGATTGATTATGATTACAGACTAACTAAACATCTTTCGAAGGCAAAAGCAGCAAGACTCAGAATCAGAAGATAGAGGAAAATAAAAATAAAATACAAGTAAAAAATGAGGAAAAAAAAAGAAAAGGCACAAAAGGAGCTACAGCAAAAGTATGAGAGAAGGAAAACAAGAACAAGGACATCAAATTGCACTCAATTTTGAAAATAGTAATGCTCTCAAATAAAAACCTGTTATGGGTTCTTTTCTTGGGAAAATTGTCCAAAATAATTTATACAAAAAATTTAAAAAAAATCCAATATATACATATATTACAAGTTGTAATATCATATTCATAAGCTACATTTTCAATAATGTAACTTACACATTATAACATAATTATATTATATACCATGCGATATTGACAAGAAGATACGATCCTTGTGACAAATCTTATCACCTACATGTTGAGGACTCGAGGTGTTGCAATCCATAACATGCACTATGAAATACGAAGATGCAGTAATGCAAAGCTAACAATTAAGTGCTTAATGACAAACAAGTGGTTGGCAATTGATGGGTGGGCTGTGGAAGGCAGATCGTGGAAGATAGTGTATGAGATAAGTTCTCTCCTTTGCTCTTGAGCCTCCTCCCCAACTCCTTTCCCTTTTCCAGACTTAGACTTCTACCTCCAGGTTTCACATTTCTTCTTTTTCTTCTATAAGACTCCTCCCTCCTTCATTTCTCTTCTATTTTAATCTTCTAGAACATAATAATTTTAGTCCGACTTTGAAATGACCACAACCGCACATGTTTCAAGGACAAAATTCCAAGTCAGAATTAAAATAAATCACAGAATCAAACACTTTTCTCAGGATTGGCCAGACTTAAATTTGGTTGACCTTGATGGTATCCAACTGATTCCAACTAAAATCGAACTAGTTCTGGCTGATGTCAGCTACTTTTTCTTAGACAGGAAAGGGCTAATTATGACTAAAAGCAACTGATGCACGTACAGGTTGCAACGAGAGGTAAAAGTTGAAAAGGTGGAAGTCTATAAGAACTTGGTGAAACTAACCACGTTGATGTTATATTAGTGCAAGAAATTCAAAGAAACTATTTCTCCAATTGTTGAAATTCATAGAGTACTAAATCTTTTGCAAAATTTAATTGAAGAAAGTGTGATGGTAAAAGCCAAATCCAGATCACTCATCTTGCTGCATTTTAAGTCAAAGCTATGATACTGGGGTATTTCAGTTAACTTTCCAACTGTGTTATTGTTTTATGGCGTACTCATCGTGGAAATGGAAGACATATGTTGAGAAAAACCATCATTAGACATCAAAGATAAAATTTATGTTAAATACCAATGCATCCATCTCTAATTTAATTTCTAGAAAGTGATGTTTAAGTCAGTAGGTTTACTTTAATGGTTAGATATATTACATTGCAAGATTAACAAGAATTAAAACATGATTGATTCATTTATGATAACTTGATCAAGCAATCAGTGTTAGAACAAGTTAAGAAGCTAAACCATTTGTTGGCAGTCAAAAGAGAATTAATATTTCGAAAAAAAATCAAATTTGTTCATGTTATCAAGACAACGATTCTTTGAAACTCTTTGAACAATATCCTTTTACCTGGATGGTCAAAGTTATATTCATGTACATGATTCAACTCCTCTTCTGCCAAATCATAATAAAAAGATTCCTGCCATATCATGCTAACAAACAGATTAGTTTCCACCAATAGCTAGATAATATTTTGATTTTATATACATTATCTTCATAACAAAACATAAAGATAATTCAAAATTAGCCATTAAAAATGCAACTACATCACTATTTTCCTAGAAAATACTAGATAGTTTTGTTTTAACTACATAATGTCCTAGTCTTCTAGCAAAATGTATATCATATGAAAGAAGCAGATAGTTAATGACAAAAGTTGATAAATTTTATTTATCTAAAGGAGAACATGAGCACCCACAGTAAGCATGCATTAAGAAAATGTAAAAGATATTTTTGGTAAGATAATTGCCTAGAGCAATAGCATTGTTAGTTTATAGGCTGGATAACTTATGTTTCCTGCAAATTATGAAATTCATTAAATCATATTATTAATACCATAAATTATTTAAAAATTTACAAAAACATTTTGTATTAAGTATGAACTAAGAAAGTTCTAAATCCTGAGGACATTGCATTGGTAGAGTTGTCAATGGATTGGGTCTGACTTGAATTAATTAAATCCGATCTGAGATCCAATCAAGTTTGAAATGGATAGGAATCATGCTTTTTAGTTTTGACACAATGACACAATACATAAAAATATGACCCAAGCCAAATAATAAATTAATCAGAGAAAGATCAGGGTAGATGATACAACAATGATCCCATCAGATTCCTATATATAACACTATATTATATTCAAATTATATTAATTACAAATGATAATACAGCTCATTAAAAATTATGTACTATGTACATACTATATACTACATTCGTGAAAAGACTACTTTTTACCCAAGAAGATTACCATTTTATCCCTACATGCAAAATCACTCATCTATACAGTACTGCAAATTAATGCTTACTTTATCTAGGTTCTCCTTGAATCTCCAAAAGTACCAATTTGTATATTAAAGGTCATGCCTGTTTTCTTGCATTAAATGATTCTAATCAAATCAACTACACGAAATAAAAAAGGAAGACAATATTTTCCAAGTCAGAACCATGTCCACCTGATTCACAAGGACAACACGTTGATCATGAAGTTTCTCTATGATCATATCACAAACAGCAGTCTTTCCAGCAGCTGCACCACCAGCAACACCTGTGTTTGACAAAACATATAAGAAAGTTAAAGACTAAGTAACTCAGACTTAAGCACATTATCAAAACAAGAAACAGCTGCAGTATATTAATGTCAAGAAGATAAGAATCTTGTTGGACCAAATGAGAATTACAGAATGAACTAAACTTTGACACATGCCAGACAAAATTAATCCTATAATCAACCACAAGATAATATCATTGAATAAGGCACATAAGTACAAGGATTTGCTGCTGGAAGCCAGATAGATGCCAGCTTTTGGCTGGTATGTTATAATGTGCTTCATTGCAGCAATCATATGTTTCTCATTAATGCAATTCAAGTCCTCGACATAAAAAGTCAACAGGATGTGCAGGAAAACAAACTGTGAGATCTCAACTTTCAGGTTTAGTTACTTATATCTTTTTTCCATCATGAGCACTTGTAGTGTCCGAGTCTCACACACTTTGAACTATAACGAACATGCCAATAGAAGCACAAATAATATGTATATGTTACCCTCACTTAGTGATATGATTTATGATGTTTATACTTCATAAATATAATAAATGACATGCTCATGTTTTCGGCTTTTAAGATTGAAATACATATTTTCCAAAAATATCATTCTCAGTATTCTACGAAATGTTAGTTGAGCACATAAACATTAGTGTTTACGTTAAGCATAACACAACAAGCCAAAGTATGCTAGCAAACTTGAATATAAGGTTATGTTATAGTAATAAGCATACATACAATAACTAGAAGTGAGGATTGAATTGTAATTGACCTTAAGTGAATCTCAAGGCTTGAATAAGTTTAAATATAATTAAAATAAGAAAGTTTAAGTTTTAAACCTCGTGTATATAGAGGATAATAAACTACTTAGGCATGGATGAAACAATGAAAAATTAAATGAAGATACAAATCAAAAAAGAGTGTTATACTAAAAATGTTAAGATACATAAGTAAGATTAAAGGATGAGTTTAGATCAAAAATGTCATCTTTGTCAAACCAAATTAAACTTAATGGAAATTGCTGCAACATTAGAATTACATTAGTAAAAAAAGAAAAAAAAAATAAAAGGAAAAAAAAGGAAAACTTGAAATAAGGTCTAATGGGATTGAACCCTAGATCTCAAGGCAACCTCTTAAGCACCTCTACCTCATCCTCTTCACCAACCTAAGAACCTATAACCTTTTCTTTTCTTCTTTAATCATTCTCTCAGCTTTTCTCATGAAGGCCAGAAAACTCCAACTCTAAGGAAGATTGACGTATGAAAACTCAACTATTCCCTTGCTATCCCTAGGGTTTCAGTTTTACAGATTATAGGTTGATCTTTTCAACTGCTTTTGAGTAACCTAGACTTTGATTTTATCTATAATTTTTGGATATGTTTTGGATGATTTTCTTATGATTCTAAGGCCTCTGTATGACCTTAATATGAGACCGATGCATAAAGTTATTATGGTCCCAATCTGAGGTACTCGGAATTCTCTGTTTTCTGAGAAAGGATCATGTTCGAGCTGAATTAACCACCTTAAGGATATGATTAAACTCTAGTCTTTTAATATGTTTAAAAAGGTTCCTTTAAGATTCTGTGAGATATGGAATTGAGTCAATACCACCTCTGTATACCAAGATATGAGGCTTATAAGTTTCGACAGTCCCAACCCAGTTTTAGTATAATAGAATAGGTATTGGTAGTTGAATTAGGAGGGTAGTTTAGCCTCCAAACTCTAGTTTTAGTATAATATTTAGTTTTGTCTCTTAGTTTTCTACAAAATTTTATGATAATTCAAGATCGTTTGGTTTGATTGTATGATGGTTTGACTAATACTAACTAGTTCATTTGTTTATAGAGTGAATTGTTGAAAAATTGATGGTGGAATTTAGATGAATTTTCAGGTTGAATATAGTCTATTTTATAAGAAATTTTATCAAAGTTTTTCTATGAATTATTAACAATTTGAGAGATTGGGTTCTTAATTAAAGCATCTCATGACCCTATGCTCCCAATTTAATAGATGTATCGCTCCCTAACATGCTCAATCATTAAGGAACGTGATCTTTCATTGGCACCGTCATTTTTTAATTCAATCAGGTAATTATAAGTTGAAGTCACTACAAAATTGTAGTCGTATAAATTATTGTATGCATAATGTATTTTGGAAAGCATATTTCAAATGACATGATCATCATGAATTAGGCATGAGCTAAATATGAATGCATATATTTTGTAAGCATAAAAATATATGAATTACGATGAAAATGTATTGTATGCATATATATATGGTGACGTGCGGTATAGGAGTATACGTGTTTTCTATTATGCGTGGTGTAGGAGTACATGGACATGTTACGACGTACAATGCATATATATGATATGACGTACAATGTGGAAGTGCACGTACGTATTATGACATATGGTGTGAGAGTGCACGTATATATATTATGACGTACGGTGTAGATGTACACGTATATATTATGATGTGCGGTGTAGGAGTGCACGTATATCTTATAATGACGAGCAAAGTGAGAGTGCTCGTATATGTTATGATATAAGACGTAGAAGTCCATGAATTTGCTATGTTTCCTACATATGCATATAAGCATTTTGAATTATTTCGATGTAAAATTTTACCTCTTTTCTAGCATATGCTATATTATAGGATTATGCTTGCTAAAGAAGTCGTAAGATGAGGTGTTTATTATTAATAGTCTTGTGATAATGATTTTAAAATATGATACACATGACATGATGCATACTCACCTGAATAAAACTATAAAGGCTTATACTTACTGAGTGATTACTCACTTATAAACCCTATTTTGCAGGTAAGGATACTAGTACTCCACCCAAGTAATTGGGTAGAGAAAGAAGCACGTGCAGGCCCATGCCAACGCAAATATGGACGATGGCCTATGGCCATTTGTATGTATAAATTTTGGACCTGTTATGTTTTTGTTTTCCTTTAGTTAGATAATATAAGTATACACGGGTGTCAAAACCACTATGTACAGGGGAAACCCTATTATTTTGTTTAGTAATTAGCATGTTTTAATTTTAAGATTGCCTACTTTCCACATTTTAGTTTAATTATTGATAGCAATAATTAAACTAAAATGTGACATCCTACTTTAGTCATGCGTGTAGGTATGAGTGGAACTAGAAGTAGGGTATTGCAGCACTATTAAAGGCAATATGTGTAGTCAAACTGAGTAATCAAATCTCTTTTTCTTGCGTCTAATAAAACTTTCTTACGCCTTCTACTTCGCACTACACATGCTAATTGATTTAACTATGCAGTATCAACCCATAAAACTTAATGAATGTATCTAGGCTAAATCCAGTAAGATGTAGTCTAAATCAGGTAAGATCTAGGTTACATCTGACTATCTTGTCCAGATTCACCAAATATAATGTTAAATCCATGTGGATCTACCTTATTTTGACAAAGATGAAGCCTAGATATGTGAAGTTCCAGCCCGAAACCATGTGGATCTAGGCTAGATCCAGATGGATCTAGAATGATCCATGTGGGATCTATGCTATCTAGCCTGGATTCATGCATATTGTGGTAGATCCACATAGTTTGGGACTTGATCTTTATGGATCAATTCCTAAATTAAATATAAATTGAAGGCCAAACACAGAAATTTCTCTAATAATGACCTAATTAAACCTAAAATCAAGTACTTAAGCTAACAAATTTGGTTTGATTTACCTAATTTTGAAAATTTATTCAAATGGATTTCAATTCGAACTTTCTCTTTGAGAAATTGGGCCTTCTCTTCAAGTCTTGCTTGAATTTGGGAAAGTATTAGTGGGATTTATAGGAGCTAGAAGAAAATTGTTTGATGGGTAGGATTAAGAGTGAGAGGCTGAGAATAGATTAGGAAAAGAGGGCTGAATAGTGGTTCAACCTTCTTTATACCCCCAAAAGAAACCCTAACGGATCTCTTTTGAGTATGCCCACCCCGGTCAGGCTTACCTCTCAGTACAGGCCTGGTACAAGATGATAAGCCTGGTTTATTGGGCTTATGGAGCAGCAAGGCCTATTCAGAAATGGATGACCCAGTTCAGGCTAGTCGACGGTCCAGTGACCTGACAAATCAATATGTCCCGAGTGATACAGGTCCGCTCGATATGTCAAACCATGACCCTTGGTACCTATACAACTTGCCTAGCCTATTCTATAACCAAATTATAACTCATCATACTCCAAATAAAGTTAAATCAGATTCTAGAGACTTCTTGAAAATCCACTAAAAATGACATATGAAAACAAAATATAAGAAATTACCATAAGGACTTAGCAAGCAAGCTTTACTAGCCCTTTCTTGCCCTAACTTGGCTACAAATGGGTTAAGGTGGTTTCGTTGCTCAATCATCACCCTTTCAGATCAACCTGTCCATCTGATGGCAAGGTGATATGTTTCCAAATCAACCTTTCAAATCTTTTACTCTCATGTTTGGCAACAAACCAAAACCTGATAAGTGATAACATCCAATATGCAACATTGCCTATCCATTTTCCATTCTTCATCAAGTGCTATATATATTATGCAAGTTCTTAAGTCATTTGAATCCTTAAAGTCAGTCTATCAATTTAGAAGTTCTATCAATTTAGAACTTGAAACATCAAGTGTTATCAATTTAGAATTTCAATACTATTCTTAGCATGTAGTTCTAAAACAGGGACTAGGAATAATTTGTTTTTACAAGAATTTTCTTTTTAGCAATATATCTGTAAAAATCTTTTGCTTCCGAAAGGACTAACATTGGACATGGAGAAAAAGTTTCTCACGAACCACTTCAATGCTTATGGCTTAAAGAATCCATGTAAAAATTCCCTCTTTCAACCTATCAGCTCAACCTCTTCGAAGAGTCACCATGATGACATTACAAACCAGCCTGCAAACCTATGAACGAAAAAAACTGCAACTGTTATTCTAAAATCTACATAAAATAAGTCCTACATTTTGAAAGTTGCAGTTGTACCACTTAAAGAAACATCTACAATATAACCTGCCTTAAACTAAAATAAGGGCCGATCATGATGCAGAGAAGGTAAAACTACTGAGAGCCCTTATATAGTAAGATGTGGCTCAATCCTGTGACAATTACCATTTCAATATTTTGCAAAGCATGAACCTAAACAAGGACCAAAAATTGAAGGCTACCTTGATCCAGCTGTATTGGTTTAAAAGGTGTGGCTTCCATTCAGGTTTTAGCCATTTCAGCTCCAACCAATAGATTTGATTGGTTGATATGAATTTGGTCCAAAGGGAAAACAGATCATGTTACTGCAAATGCATCTTCCAGGCTCACATTGACACAATGATACTGCATTTGACCTATTTCAACTTTCCCAATCTATTTGTCTTGTAGCATAAACAAGTATTTTCATCATAGCCAACTCAATTTTTTGTAGATCTTGATATTATGATCATTTCTTGCCAACATCCCCATATTAAAAGACGAAAAGACAGCTGACACCTAGCATTAAACACATACATGTTTATGATTTATGTCAAGAACTATGCATCCAGACTTATAATCTCCTAACATCCATAAAACATTTCGTCTAAAACTATACCTAACACACAAAACATTTCCTAATATTCTAGATTTTCTTGAAATATTTACATCTTATCTTTTTCTTATTTTAACATCCAACTACAAACTTACCAAAATGCTCAAATCAACAATACCAACCAAAACTAAAGTTTCAAGCCTTGATGATCCATCCTACAAATCAAATGATCATTATCATTCTCAGTGAAAATAACCAAATAATGAAATGGTTTATATAAAATAAAACCTACCAAATTAAATGAAGATTTAAAATTTAGGATATCCGTTGGACCTCTATGCCACCCCCACACACCCACCCAACCACCTCGGATGCATGACACAGAAAACTAGAAGCAATTAGGAGCTCATCCTATGTACCCTAATTTATGTGGCAAGTTGCAGTTCCCCTAAATGATTTCCAACAAATTTGATTCTGACAGAAAGTTGGTAGAAAAGATGTTGCCAAAGACAAATTTGCTGGTGGGAGAACTTCTCGGCACATGGATTATGGAAATTTCCAACTTCCACAATTCTCTCTCTCTCTCTCTCTCTCTCTCTCTCTCTCTCGCTCTCTCTCTCTCATCTTTGTAAACTGTGGAAAATTTTTACATATATTTAACATCAAACAATAAATTTATCCCAAATCTTAATTCTTGTAACCAACTAGGAACTTTCTTGAATGCTTAAATTAAATCTTTTCTTACAAAGCATGGATAGAAATAAGAATTTATTTAATCACATATATAAATATGACAACAAGGCATGAAAGACCAAAAAATTCGGTGAATCATTCATAAGAACTAACCTATTACGAAGGGTTCTCTGCAGCCATTCTCGGTCTCAGCGGTTGCTAGCAGCTGCTGTTCAGAATTTCTTAGTTCTATATCATCCACGTGAAGTCCAGAAAAGTGAACTCCTACAGAATTCTCTAGCAGTTCCTCCACTAACTTGGAACCCATGTGGACAGGCTATATCTAAGAATTCTGTGTCACAAAATAAAGAATTAGATGGATCCCATTCTACAGATATAGTCAGAATGAATTTAATGTTCAGCATGTGAGCATCAGACTTTGAATATTAATATAGAGGCAGATCACAATTTTTCATATGTGTGTGCATTGCATCAATGAATACAGAAAAATTTACAAGAAAGGCACAGAGTGTAACGATGGAATATAAATTCATGAAAATTGTTTGCTAGACTTTGTAATTAAGAATAGAACATGTGAGTTGAATATCAAGAATAACACAAAAGGAAAGTCTTATTTTCAAGATCACATGCATAAGATCTGCTGCATCCACTTTCGTGACAACTGTATACAACTGTACACAGAAACAAGGAAGATGAAGAAGGATCACATCATTATGGAACCATATTCACGAGTAACCCATGAACAGTTAAACCCAAAGTTTCTGTTGATGCTTCTGATTTGACACATTCGTTGCTATGTGCCAAAAACTCAGAGCATTCTGTTGGAAGGTTTCTTGAGATTCAGAATATACTTGCAATCCTTTATGATGCGTCATAATGAGAATAAGAAGATCAGAACCTATTAATCGAATCAGATCATTCATTTCCTATTTTGCCCTTCAGTGCCAAACTAAAGCAAATTAATACGCTTCTTAATCAGTTCGCTGGAATCAAATCACTCAAACATCCGTTGTTACCTTCATATTTTGGGATGGAAACGAGGCACCTAAGTTAAATATTGTCCCAAAAACGAAACAAAACACCATTTTTATCCCGCAATCCAGAAAGAGATCTCACATGAGGAGTTTCGAGACGACGCGTGGACCCAAAACCAGAAGCTCTCGCCGGGATCAATTCACATCACCACGACGAGCAAAGCTCAGATCCAATGCGATCGACTAGGAAGGGGAACCGAGAGATAGCAACGGCGTCCGTCGCCCGCGATGACGGCGGTGCCTTTGCGACGAGATCTTTCAGATTCTACGAATGCACTTCCCGATCTAAACCCTAGAGTTCGGATCTTCGCTAGTTTCCCTTCTCGGCCAAAAGAGAGCAAGAGAAACGTATATAGGAGTGGGGTTCAAGGACCGCAGCTGCCTACTCGGGTTCAAAGACACCAATTGCCCTACTGTGCTGCGTTGGCAACGATCGGTACCTTGCAAGTCCATTGGTAGTTCGCCATCTGTCCCAAGTTAGCCACCTTGGATGGCTGGCGGGGCTTTTCCCGTAAGATCTAACACTGGTCCAGTATCGGGATCCGTGAGACAAAGCCTTGCAAGGCGCATTGCAGCGGCATCGGACCGACCACTTCCACATGTTACAGGAACCCGGATGACTTGATGACGAGTCAGCCGGAGTACGGCTTCGGTCACCGACACTTATAGCGAGATGGGGGGCACGACTATGCTCACGTGGATACGTATGCGACAGGAATCACACACCGTTCGTTGAATCACGGACGGCATGATCGGGGGGAATAGGGAAAGGCACGGAAGGGGTTTCCAGAGAGATCCTCTGGAGTCCCGATATTCATGTCACGACTTCGCGGACGAACGGGAGAAGCGCGCAGCGCGAGATCGGGGCGGGAGGTGCGCCGCCGCCGCTCCCCTCGTCCTGTTTCGGGGCCCCACTGTGGGTCCCTGCCTTTAAGAGGGACCTTCCACTCGAGGGCGGAACGGGAAGAGGGTCGGGGAGCGCGGGGGAACGAAAATGGACGGCTGTGATTGGCGGTGTAACGAAGGAACCGCTGGAGATGGCTGAGTCAGGGAAGTGGCGGGGGCGGCTCCCAGGACGGGATATTTTATTGCTGGTGTACCTAGCCAATGTCACGTGCTGATTTCGTTTGTTTACTCGAAAGAAAGAGACTCTCGGTTCATACCCGAAAAGCGAGTGGAGAATCTGCGGGCCCCACGGTGGACATTTTGCGAACTTTAAGGTCATAAAATATATTTTATATTCCAAAAAGGTATAAAAGAATATAAGGAAATAATAATGTGCATCGCGTGGGTTTTGGTCGTCTCCGGAGGCTACCGCTTTGCTCACCCCTTACGTGGTGGTAGTGACATAATTATCAGAAGCATATAACATGTGAGCCAGTTTATCCACCAGATGTAGAAAAGAATTTCTAGAGATAATAATTTTGATTAGATTGATTTATAATTAGAGAACGATATGAAAATTTTGAACACATGGTTCTCTCCAACTAGAATAGCACCAAAAAAAAAAGAAAAATGACCACAAGGGTTTCAACACCTGCACAGGCCAGCATGAGAACCGCACGATTGATTTGGCTGCTCAATTTTTACACCATTCTGTGTCATCCAATATTGTTCACTTACACCACATTTCATGTTCGATCCCAGGTTTACAATTCTCCCTCGGTTGAGTTGAGGATACATCTGACCAAACTCTGTGCCAGCAGCCACCCAGGCATCAGGCCACGACAAATCCTGGGAAAGCTCAACATGAATCTCCAGAAACAAAAAGAATGACTACAACTTAAACATCTCTTCCGCAGGCAATAGGTCAGATTACCATTAGATATAAGGTCCTCATGTTCTTCTCCAGGATGACTATCTTCAGGAGCTGTGAAGCAGGTATCTTAATATACATGTTTACGGTCACAACCATGGATACATGACAACTACTGAACCTAACAGCACCCCTTCTTCGCCTTCTCTTGTTGTTGGTTCAAGGTGGAGGTGGTGGTGGTGGTGGTGCAGTTGGCAATGGCGGTTGGCCTAACTGAATGAACCCCTCCGAGGATTGAAGACCATAAGGCTGGTTTATGAGACTTGGATAGAGTTGCATGCCATGCATTGGGTAGTTTGGGAAAGGAACTGAGCCATAACCAAAAGGCATTGTAGGTCCAGAAGAAAACTGCATGAATTGGGGTGTAGTTGGTGGAGGTGGTGGTAGTGGCATAGGCAGGAAAGGAGGTGGTGGTGGCATTGTTCTTGAACTTGGTTGTGTAACAGGAAATGATGGCTGTAGCGGCGGAGGCTGATTTAACAAATCAGGATGCAGGAATGATGGCAAGAGCGGCCGAAGCTGTGGCAATGGTGGTGGCACATTGTCCTCTAGTTTAAGCCTCTTGTTATCAGTAGGGTGGTCTTCTTTAATTGAAAGGCTAAAGATGCCATCAGAAGCTGGAGAGGTGTGGACATGTATCAGCATCTGAGAAGTGGAAGTGGAAGCTGCAAACTGTGGTGCAACTGCAGCAGCTGCTGTTTCTGGGTACCTGTCTGTAACAGGAGCATTATTGTCTCCAGGAAGTCTATCCTGGCTGTATCTGCCTGCAGTAGTTTGTGATCTGGTGCCAGCACCGGATTGAGGGATAAGTTTAGGTGGGCTGTCAGGGAAAGCTGATGAGTTGTTAAGCCTTTGATCAGGTGATGAGGGACCAGTACCGAGCTGCTTATGCAAGTTGACTGATTGTTCATATCTTGATTGAGCAGCCTGAATAACAATTAAACAAAACCATGTTATGTGGAGATACATCATGTATCTTGTAGAAGAATCAAAATATTAGCTTCAAAAAGCATTCCCAATCTAGCAAACAGCCATGGCCATTAATAATTAACATTATCATAAAAAGCTCTTTCACAAAGATTACTCAGCACTTTACGGAACTATCAAACAAAGGGATAATGTTATTGGAATAATGGAATGTGGTCTACCGTATACCATTTACCGGTGCATCTCCAGTGTATCCTAACATTATATTTTAAATGCATCAAGTTTCTTTGTCCTAATATTTTCCAGCAAATAGTATATAGAACTAATTTAAGATTATTAAACCAAACAGATAACTAGAAGATCTAGTAATCTAATTAGACTCTGAAAAAATAGCCACTATGGGTGAAGTGAGAGAATCTTGAATGCATCTCTTAAGAAAATCGGCTATAGTGAGTCCAACAATATAGATTTGAACTGAAGTAAAAAGGTTAACTGATCACTTGTTACATCTTAAATTGGTTATCATGAAAGGATAACCATACATTCTATGAAGAGAGCAGATAAGAAAAATGGCTGCACTTGTCTGTTAGACAGAGACACAAATACTTATTAGATACTTCCTGGCATGTGAGACAGATTATAACATATTTTGAGACATACATCACCTATGCCTACGTTAATATATGGAACATATGTAGTAGTTCAATACAATCATATCATCTACATACGAATTTTAAAAATTGCAGATACAAGTAATATTTATGTACTTGTAAATTTTTAGTTTATGATGAATGAGAACAATCTCCTCATATTTTGTGTATATGCTTAGAGTAATTTTTGTGAATGGTAGCTCTTCTTCTCGATTACATATTTGATGATCTGGATTGCCTACATTGTATATATAAAATATCTCCTATTACATGATATTATAGCAATACATAAAACATACAAGTTATTAAGTACCATATCATGTCCTACTTTTCTAAGATTTAGATTTGTTGTACGTGTCACTTCCATGCCATGCATTGGGCCCATGATTAAAAATATTAAAGCATGATCTTTGCATGGAAAAGAGCAACGGAAAAGATATGCGGAAACCCCAACAAACTTCTTGTGTTATTGCCCTGGGAAGACCTTGACACAATACCATGTAGTTGCTTTCTGATATCAGATTTAAGTAAACAAATCTCCAATCTAGCAACATGGAATGGATCACATACTATTCTCATCTGTAAAAGATAAGAAGTTACAGTAATCATAGCCTGAAGGATCCTGCTTCAATCACATACTATTCTAGGCTAATGTTGTCATCTGCAGTTACTATTTCTAATTATTATCTAACCAGTCACTTGGATTATCATCTGATGATTCTGACCTTATATTTGTTTTATTACTAGAGGAAGGCATAGTATGGTGTAAAAGTACAATAAAGAGGCCTTTTTTTCTGCATCATCTTCACCCCATTGTATCAAATAGCCAGCCCTCATAAAGAAAAACTAACTGTAAGGGAAAAGAAAATCTATATCCCCAATCTCCTTCTTCTTTGGCCACCTCCGCTTCCTCTCCTCTTCTTCCTCCTCACCACCACCACCTCTAAGATGAGATTATCTCATTGATCAGATGGTAGAGAATGCTAACTGTATTCATTGAAATTACATGATGCCAATTTCACCAAGTGTTCTTGGTATCCTTAGTCTACTTACTGATCCAGTTTGTTGAAAGATAGAATAAAGAGTTAAGCAAATATTTCCACTGAACTTTGCCTTTTGGAACTTGATGAGGTTTTAGTTTTTATGCACCTAAACCTAGTACATGAAAATGTCTCATGCCTACATTTGTAGTAGCATATGCCTTGTTGGCTTGTCCAGTGTCATGTCTTCATACACGAGGATGGAAAGGAAGAATAGGACTTGGAACATAGGGATGGTGTGACAATAATGGCTACATCACTATGAATCTTTACGAGGTCAAACTAGAAATACATACTTTAGTCTCCACGGGTGGTTATATCAGCCATGTCAGTAGTCCTAACAGCCTGATTATTCATGACAAAAAACCTAGTATTATGATGACTTGACAATTTGAAATTTGTATAGCAATGTTGTCATTAACCTATGTAAATTTTCATTAATTGGACTACAAATCAACTATTCTGCTACTTTTGACAAGGATACTCTATTGAATTATGTGGATTTGTGAAAAAATCCAATTGTATGACTATAAATTCATGGACTCTCAAGAAGTCATTCAAAGACTTTAAAAGTCAGGGATAACACAGCATTAACATACAAAGAAACATTCCTCATGAAATTAAAGATTATAAAAAACCTAACAAGTCTGACATCCTATTTAGCCTACAAATCTTGCAAACCTCACAAAGTCCCCAGACCTTAGATCTTGTTAGAATTTGTTTACCTTAACCTACATTAAGGGAGAGTGATGTTGTCATTATATAACCAGAACTCAACAAAAAAGACCTAATGAACTATAATGGAGCCAAATATGTATCATATAAGGGGTTCCTAAATCTGCAAGGATATATAGAAAATTTGCACTTTGGGATGGATATATAAGATATTATGGCACTTCATAGGGATACACAATTTTCCAAAAACCTTATAGCAAAAACTATAATATGCTAGTTATAGTAGGTTTCACATCATTAACATTGTCTTCCTCCTGGGATTAATATAGCTTGTGTTATAGTTATCCTAATTGAGATTGACTAGGGCCAATCCTGTTTAAGCACAATGTCACTAAGATCACCAGACAATCCACAAAAGACTGTCAGATGGCATACTTCATAATTGAATTACACTGTAATTTGATATACAAGAAGAGTACCTGAAGTTGTTGATGGACCTGTTCAAACTTTGACTCCTGAATCCAAACAATTATGGAACTTTTTAAAATTTTCATATACACATATAAGAAGAAAGAACCTGCACAAAGCATTGAGGACAAACACATAGAAACCTACCTGTTCGTGAAGTGCCTTTCTTAAATAGGTGATCAGAGTTGCTCTCAAGGATTCAATAACTTTTAGTTGTTCTATGCATTCTCTTAATACACCATGCTGTACCTGCATCTTCCTGACTACTCCAGATCCATTGGAATTCCCTGTCCATCCATAGGATGTCATAAAAGACAATATGAGAAAAAGAAAATTATATTAAACTACATATCATGCAAAGAGATATCAAGAGAATAAGCAATTGTTGATCTCAAGACACATTTAGTCAGCATAATTAACGACCAATCTCTTTTACAATCCAGAAATAAATAAATGGCATTTGAAAGAAATTATTCTAACTTTGGTGATAAAATCAGGGAAAAAGCATATTACACTGAATTTTAATATACAATAAGGAAAATACTATAAAAAGATAAATAATTGTAGTAGGAAATAAATAAAATTAGAGAAGATAAATCACAGTTTATCACTCTCCAAAATTTTTCCTGTCAAATGAGGCATCAGCAGAATACAACTCATAAGAAGAATTACATGCAAGAAAGGAATTCCAAAATTGGTTGACAACACATCCTCTCTTCATCCACTGTAGCTGATATTTTTTGTTTAACCACACAGATTCAGCTTATGTTAATACATTCTATAATATATCAGTTGTTTCATGGCCTTCCATTTTAAACTGAGACCAGCTCAAATTAATGACTAATTTGGTATCTTTACAAATTCTAGGTTCAAAATTTTAGAAACTAAAAAAAAAGAGTTGGTATCCAATAGGTTAAATCCTTGAAAATTTTGAATGGAACTGTCAAGCCCACAAGAGTCTCTACCAGTTTAGAAGATGAAGATGGCACTTCCAAGCCCACTAGAGAAACCTGTCAGTTTAGGAGATGAAGATGGCATTGTCAACAAAAGAACCAAAGAACAAGAAAGTACCGGTAATCCAAACCAAACTGAGAAACAAGTTCTTGATAATCCAGGACTGCATAAATCATCAAATTTTCTTCTTATATACTGTTAACTCCAACTGTATTCAAAATGAAGCCTCTTCTAAGATGGCCATTTGAATCAATGATTTCACGGTAATGATCTGTCTTATTCCATTGAATTTTATAAATTTGCTACATAGATGAATCATTTGGTCATTCTAGCACTCTGCATACAAGCAGATAATGTCACTGTAATAGCATTAATATCAAACATGACTATGGTTCATGGCCACTTATGAGGCATGGCCATGCAGAATAGTTCATGACGACTGGGGAATTGCATGTGCACACGTCTTCACATAAACAAAGCTGCATAAGTTCCTAACTGCTAAATTGATTCAAAGGACACCTTGCAAGTGTTCAAAAATTTGATAGGACATGAAACTTTGCTGAAGTTTTATAAGTTAAACTGGATCTTATGGCTTTGATTAGATAAGATCATGTCCAAAAAGATTACTGAAAATCCAAGACAGATTTAAACAGTGGAATCTACTTTGTTAGGGGCCAAATTGTGTTTCAGTAAATCTGACCAATATCCCATTTGCTAAAACAAAATCCAATATTTAAAAGAAGCATATGTCAAAATTACTAGTTACAGGTGCCCTGCAAGCCAATCACGTGAGTGATGGCACGTGTGATACGCTGCATAATCTCTTTTGGTTAATATTAATAATGACATTATCTCACTTTATATTATCTGATTAATATATTGTGATGTCCTTGAATCTATGCAATGAGAATTGGATCATAATGAGATCATGATAATGAGACCAATTCGCCTTTAAACATAAAATCCTAAATATTTCTGGTCATAGGTTATTTGAGAAGGAAATCGAGGTAACCGAATAAATCGGTGTACCATATACTCGTCCATACGATGGAGGCAGTTGGTTTCATAACTGTTTATGTGGGGACACTATAGATATAGTGTAGGTGCTCATTGGAGGATAAGTTCACTAAATGATTCACTTACGAAATATTGGATGGTTAATGATACCTCATTGTCAGACAACGATTTCGTAGTCCCAGTTGTATATCTGGTCCTTAGACTTGAGACACCAAGAATGTCTTGTTTGAGTACTCCATTCTTTGATACCGGACTTATAGATTTGAAACTTTCAGAACTAACACAGCCGGTCATTAGGAATAAGGGATTAAGATATTGGATGAATGATGGATTATAGATACATGGTAACTAAGGACAAATAGGTCTGATGGATTAGATCCCCTTGTACCATCTGAGGACTATGGCGTAGTGGCCTAGTACGTCCATAGTCGATGAGTTGAGTGAATTATTATGAGGATAATAATTCACTAAGTCAAAAAGAGTTTTGATAGGTGTAACTCACGGCCAACTCGGTATTTGACCTAGAGGGTCACACACATATGGTAGACAATACGACAAATAGAGGATTGGATATGAGATATCCAATAAGCCTATGTCTTAATGAATTCATTGGGTGAGACCCAATAAAGCTTAGAGTGGTTATTGGATGAAGATCCAATATCCATTAAGCTAGTGGTTATTGGATGGGGATCCAATACCCATTAAGGTCGATCCATTAGGATTAGCAATAGGAGCTCTCTATAAAGAGGAGTTGGGGCTTCATGAGTCATAGGCTAGACCCTAGAGCCGTCGGCCTCCTATCGCCTCCTCCCCATCTTTCTCTCAACCGTGAGCCCCTCCCTGGTGTGAGTGGACAACAAGAGGGTCGGCCCCTCTCTTGACTACTGTTACGTAGTGGTGCGCGATCACAAGGAGAGAACCCGTTGCGCGAGGAGGTGCGTCATCACTGCGTTTGTTGTGTGGATTACTACTAGAGAGGAGTTCGCGAGAGCTTCTTCGTCCCACGGACCAAGATCTACGATTTAGAGGATATACGATCTCCCCTAGGTGAGAACGTCTCAATCTATTGATGCGGCTTTATCGTTTCGAGTTTTATGCTCCCGATTGTCGCACGGCGATCTGATAAGATTTGTTTGGGAACGATTTTTTTTTTTATTTTCCATTGCGCATGTGATGCTCTCTAATGTTTCCCAACAATGTTATCAGAGCCGGGTTCCCCGTGCAATGATTGGTTATTAACTGCCTGTTGAGTGGAATTGGTTTTCTCATAAATTAGTTGTGTTTTTCGTCAATTTCAGATTAGGATAGCATATGTTTTGCATCTGAATCGTTTAGACAACAAAGGACCTTATCATCAAAGAGTTAATGGCAAAACTAGGGAAGGGCATGTTATTGATTATCTGCTGCATCTTTACGTTTTAGAAAAATATCGCTTGCAAACCCCTTACGCAGCATATTTGATGTCAATCGTCTCACTGGTCCAAACTACACGGATTGGCTCCGTAACTTGAGAATTGTTCTCACGACGGAGAAAATTCCATATGTCCTTGACATGGTAATGCCCGAGCCTAATGAAGGGGCAAGTGAGGAAGAGATTACTCGCTACAAGAAGTATGTAGATGATTTCATCCTAGTTCAGTGTTACATGTTGGCCTCGATGACTCCCGAGCTGCAAAGGCAACATGAAAAGATGGATGTTAGATCCTTCCTCCTTCATCTTCGTAAATTATTTGAGGAAGAGGGAAGGACTCAACGATCTGAGATATCCAAGAGTCTCTTCCACGCAAGGATGATTGAGGGGGTATCGATTCATATCCATGTCCTTAAAATGATCTAGTGGATTGAGAAGTTCACGGGTTTAGGAATGGTTCTAGAGGATAACCTATGTGTAGATCTCATGCTTCAGTCTCTCCCAGATTCCTTTTTCCAATTTATAATAAATTTTAATATGAACAAGCTTGAGATGACTCTCTCTGAGCTCCTCAATATGTTAAGGTAGGCTGAGAGCTCCATCAAGAAAGAGAAGTCAGTTCTCTATGTTGGTGAGACTAAAAAGAAAAGGCAAAAAAATCCCTTAAGAACGGCAAGGGCAAGGGCAAACCGGCTAAAGCAAATGTTGCTAAAAATGACCCAGCAAAGGACAAAGGCCAGTGCTTCCACTTTGGGAAATACGGGCACTGGAAGAGGAACTATAAGGAATACCTAACAGAAAAGGCGAAACAAAAGCTTGGAGAAGCTTCAAGTACATTCAAGATTGATCTTCATCTGTCATAAAGTTATGATAATGCATGGGTGAGACCCAATAGAGCTTAGAGTGGTTCTTGGATAGAGATCTAATATTCATTAAGCTAGTAATTATTGGATGTGGATCCAATACCTATTAAGGTAAATCCATTAGAGTTAGCAACAGGAACTCTCTATAAACAAGAGTTAGGGCTTCATGAGTTATACGCTAGACCCTATAGCCGTCGGCATCCTATCTCCCCCTCCCCATCTTTCTCTCAGTCGTGAGCCCCTCCCTGGTGTGAGAGGACAGCAAGAGGGTCGGCCCCTCACTTGACTGTTGCTACGTGGTGGTACACGATCACGAGGAGAGAACCCGCTGTGCGAGGAGATGCGTCATCGCTGCGTCTACTGTGTGGATTATCGCTAAAGAGGAGTTTGTGAGAGCTCCTTCATCCCACGAACCAAGATCTACGATTTAGGGGATATACGATCTCCCCTAGGTGAGAACGTCTCAATCTATTGATGCGGCTTTATCGCTCCCGGTTGTCGCCCGGCGATCCGATAAGATCTGTTTTAGGAACGATTTTTGTTTTCATTTTCCGCTACGCATGTGATACTCTCTAATGTTTCCCAATAAAAACGTCTAGCATGAAGCAAATCAGCAATACAAATACCAATGCCAAAGTGTGTCTCAATAAATCCAAAATTAACAAGTGCTCTGACCAATTTAATCCAAAGGCCACTTTGTTCCATTTGCTAAAACTAAGTTCAATATGAAAGAGGCAGTATATTTCAAAATGTATAGCATGAGTGGGCCTAGCCTAACATCATAATTTGTTTGCACTTCATGGAGGCCCATAGAAGGCAATGAACATGTAAAAAATGCTGAATCTGCCAATCTGAAAATGGGAATCTTGACATGACTTCCTTGACCTACACTTGAAATTTAACTTAATCATCAACTTTTTATATGGGTTCTATCAACCATAGTGTGAAATTTTAACCAAAATTCACTTCAACTGAAGTGCATTAGCTTCAGCCAAAGCGAAAAGGGTTTCATCCTTCTTTGGCTTAGTCCAGCGATGATCAGTACATGTCTCAAACTTTTGATGGTTTTAGCCAAAACTGATTAAAACAGGTTAAGGCAAAAAAATTGTTACAGTGAATTCACTGTCGACAATTTGTAGTCGCAAGAAGCAGGTTTTTTAGGTTTCGTATATACAACCAATTAAGTGACAACTTATCATGACCATGTTCTACATATCCATGCTATTGAGCCTTGAGTTTCCCAAATTTCAAAGTTTTGCTGTCCAAACATCTTAACAGAGTATCAAAAATTGTACCATCATCATCAAACTATTCCTCTTCGTAAATTCAGCATGAAACCAAATAAGCATTTGCAACATCACTAACTAGCTACATGCCCATGCTACACATGTATTAGAATTAAAATCTATATAATTCTATTTTTGACAGAAAAAGGATATAATAGCCAAATTATCTTAATGTCTTAAATGCAGGAATATCATCTCCCGTAAGAGTATACACTTGTATTTAGTTAGGCACTCATAACATTGCAAAATATGGTACACATGGTCCATGCAAAAAACTCAAAGAGATCACTATTATTATTGACAGCAATAGCAACAGTGTTAGTTGTAATAAAACCATAGGAAATTTGCATATTACACTATTTATGATTGATTGGCATCCTTCGAGGACTCAAAATTTCCAAGATAGACACCAAGGTCAAACCACTGCATTAAATGAAATTGATTGCAGTCTCAGGGGGGGTTTCTAGGAATAAGAAAAGATACATGATAAAATAAGAAAATCTTTTCAAATTACTAGCTTTGATTGCATCAACAGCAGGACATTGTATGAAGGTCTAACAGTTACCTCCTAACTCACTCACAAGTTCCTTATCCACTTCATCAACGAGGTTAGTAGCTGCTTGACAATTTCCATATAAAGTGTCTTCGTCATAGGGAAGATCATAAATATGAGTATAGCCTGAAATGAGCTCCTCCAACTGTTCTCCAGATGGATGTTTCTGTGAATGACAAACATGCAGATATTTGTGCATATAATATTAATCAATGGCTAAATCTTATGTATCTTATTATATTGCACAAACACGATCAGCATGTGAAGAATGATTTCAAGTATAATGTTTTAAAATTCTCACCAACTTGTATCTAATGACCTTCTCGTTTATATTTTTATTCCCATTATCGCTTCCCAAAATATTGTCCTTAAGTACTTGTCCATGAGAACCAAAGACTTTGCGTTCTTCCCATATGTCCATCTGAAGATGTTATCATTCAAAAAGGAAAGGTAATTCAATTAAAGAATTAAACATTCAGATACAATTATGAAATTGCAAATGAACAACAAAACAATAATTTTCCCTAGATCAAAAAAAGCAAGCTATGCACGAGTCCTCCAACCAATACAAGGTATGGGGAGAGTCAAGTAGCTTTACCCATGAACGTAGCAACACTTTCCATAGTCTGAAACAGAGTTCTATATACCGATTCACCAGGTTATCAACACGTAGACCATCCTAAACTGGGTGGTCCACTTCTAAAATAGGGCTTGCTGCCCGGTAAGCCCTGTGAACCAGGCTTACTGCCCGGTTTTTTATTTATAATTTTTTATTTTTAAATAATGCAAATAAAACATCTGAAGTCTTTCTCCGCAGTCTGCCATGCCTGTGTTCATCACCTCTCATGCTGCCCGTCAAAGTATTGATCCTTTAATAATTACTTATAAGCAGATACTTTGAGGAAGTATCCAACACATATCAAAGGAATTATCAAACAAATCATATCAGACATGAATGTGACACTTACAGCAAGTATTTTGTAGCATACATGTTGGATGGTAATTAAGTTATCCACTCAACCATACCATCTTAAAATTTTCTTTGACAATATTTTGGTCAATACACACATTACTAAGATTGAAAAAATGAAATAATTAGTTTATTTCATGAAAAATAACCACATTAGTGAATTTATCATTTATGAACAGTTGAACTCCACAGCCAACTGAGTTTGAATGATGAACCAATATACAGAGAAGTGTAAGAAAATGTTGATGAAACCAAACAAAATAAAGATACTTTCCTAAAAGGATCAACATCTTCAAATAACTTCGAATTAAAATCCAAGTCACCTTCTATTACACTCACTAAAGCCAAAATAAATCCAACAAATTTTCATGTTCGTAAATAATGCACATCAAAATCCATGAATATAATTGCCTAGAAAGCTGTACAAAATTAAGTACGGTCTAAAGACATGAAGGATCCATGTCTGCAACTAGCATAAGTTTTAAGAAGAAAAGTATGGTTTATGCATATTTGCAAATATTCACTCAAAATAACCATGAACAAACTTGAATTCAAAAAAATGTGAATAAAAATTGAGAACAAATTATGAACATAATGTCATAATACAACAAGGTCAGTGATAAACTTTTTAAACATGACAAAAATATATATATATCTATATATAACTCAATATTTCTTACCAATCTTACTACAGTGCTTCTTCCAATCTCACCCCCATTATTAAATACATCACTAAGGGCACCAGGGATAACTTTCCAAAACTCATCAATAAACTCCAGACCCTTCCATCTGCTATTTTGCAAAATATCATTTGCTAGATATAGGAAAGATATTCGTTGATCTCTTGGAGCACAATAAAATTGTTGCTGCCATGTTTCCACAACCTGCTTTGCTTTTTTTCTATGGAAGATGCACCAATGTGATAAAGCTACTTAAGTTAAGTATATCAATGAAATAATGAGTGACCACAAAGAGGCTTAATTGAACTTATGTCTGTACAAACGGTCAAAGATTTAGCATATCAAAAATCATAATTTTTACCATATATGGAAAAAAAAATAAAAAGAAATGAAAAACTTCATAATCATGAATAGCGTAGAGGATATTCTTGTTGTTATGTGTTAATCATGATTGTTTATATAATTTTTTTACAATTATATGAAGCATCAAATTTAAAGAGAAAAGGACTTCCCATATGGAACAGATCATGGATCTTCACAAGCATTTTTTAACTGAACCTGTTTGTAGTAAGATCAAAAAGACTACAGATAATATGAATGATGCAAGTGCATTTTTATTTGTATGACAAACAATAAATGAAATTCTAGCTGCTTGAAATAGTTCCAAAAAAATGTCACACAAAAGTACAACTTATCTTGACTATACTAGCATGCCTGCCCTCTTGAACAAATTCTCTTGCCTGACTTGTGAAGCGTGAATACCTTAGTGTGAGAAACATCCAGTAGCTTTTGTTGTTTTCTTAGACTTGAAGTACTTGAGTTTAAGTTGAAAAAATTACTTTGACACGTCATGCATGTTCCAACTCATCTAGTTTCTCTGACTAGTTCTTTGAATACAAACTATGGACTATTTTGAGAAGTTTAATAAAACTTTCGGAGTTATCATCAAAGGTGATTACCACTATTTTTTTTATATATAAAAGTTATAAAACATGAGTACACAATATAATGGTACCCTAATAGGCGATACTCTGATGACATGGCTTACTTTGCTTTATGAGACATGTTTCATCATCACTAACTAGACTGCATGCTACCTGATATATATATTACTATCTCTAAGACCAACAGCACAAAACCAATTATAGTTCTACAGATAACTCCTAATATTATCTCTAGGGGCTAGCAGGACAGCAAAGTAATCCAGTATCATGTTATAAGATATAAACATCATTAAATTGGGGACACCTAAAGCCATCACAAACAAGCTTGTCCATGAAAAACAGCCATAACGATTATAAGATATAAACATCATTAAATATCAAACAATACAATTCTTGCCAGTGAGCATATCAATAGAAATGGAAGGATACTCTCTATACTCTGCTGTCCATTGTTCAACTTGGTAAGCTTGTCCGCTAATACCTGCCCATTAAATGACCCATTCATAGTTCCCGATCTATATTTGAAAATTAAATATGTCAGAGAACATATAAAGTTGGCATTGAAACAAAGATCACATTAAAATGAGTAGCCATTACGAGCACAAAGCAACAGAGATGTGATAAATTCAACAAAGAAAAGCAAATATCAACCATATTAGTAAAAGAACCTGTAACTGCTATCAATCATGCATATCTTTCTCAAATCAACTTAACAAGACAGAAGTAAACCAAAATAGACCAGTTTAGATTAGTCTATCAAAACTCAAAAGTACTGTTTTTTGACTTGGATATCTACACCATCTTGGTAAGATATTAATACCAATATATATCAAAAAATTCTTTTATCTTAGCTACAAATCATTGTTGCACAAACTTCAGTGTATCTCATTTGATGGATATAACAAAGACACTGAATCATCTGCCAACAGCCACAAAAGATCATTTGTGACACAACATTTGTTATGACCAAGGCAGACACAAAAGTTGACCCAAGTACCAATGCCACCGGCATAGCATTGGCAGAGCTCTTATGAAATTTTCAAAGCTATACACCACCACTAGAATCATTTATCCAGGAAGCCTACTCCAATAAGCCAGATGGAGCTAAGAACATAGTCAAAACTTAACCGGAACCTTTGACGTAAGTAATTAGACCTTTATTACAAACCATTTAAGCCAGAAAGAAACTACTGACTTCATGATTTCTTTCTCTAATTCAGTTCCTCTTACCACTTGGATACCAGTTAAAATTTGGAAGTCAAATGATGTGAGACTGCAGAGCATGCCAAGAACCTTTAGAAAGAAGAAATAAAATTAATGCAGAGTTGTTAAGTTGCAACTCAGGGAAACATATACACACATAACATTAATTAACAACAGCCATAATAGTAAAAATAATATTTGACTCTGACGAGTATCACGATAACTCTAACATATGGTACAATAGTAAGATACCAAGTGCCAATATTTATAGATTACCATCAAGGAAGACACCAGAAACAAGTACAATGTATGCAGCATACATGTCAGTATCTTTTATAAAACGAATGCATTGCCCATCTGAAAAGAAATTGGACTATTTTCAAGAACTATGGCTCTTCTTGAGACGAGATGAAAGCCTCGGTTTAGTACAGTATAAGACCCATAAACTTCCCAAGGTAAAGAACAGATGTATAATATTTGATAGATTGACGACTACTTCGATGGTGAGATCAAATTTATTGCCCAGAGACTTCTGAATTACCCTGTCTCAGTACATTTAAGGAAAAAACAATCAACTCATAATGATTGCGCACAGAAGATATTTGAAAGTATATCACATCCAAAGAATTAAGAAGACTCGTCAAATCTGGTAATAGTCATATATATATATATTTTTTTTTTAAATCCACCTTTACAATATAAATAGTTAGAACAAGAATAAATTTAGCAAATTGCATACAAAGGTATAAACGCATAGATAAGGAAAAAGAAACCTAGGTTGATCAAAAGGAAACAAGAACAAAACCCTCAAGCCACAGAAATCTGCAGGCAATCCAACCAGCCAAATCTAATGCGGGCGAACTAGGCAAGAAGAGCTCGTCGAAGGAGGCGACAGCTTGGTAGATGGGCGCAATCTCTTCGTAAGCGCTTCTTGACGAGATGCTTCGTAAGCGAAGGTAGGGGGGAAGAATTAAAGTGAAAATAACTAAAACCCCTTTCCTTTGCTGGTTCGTTCCCCCTTCAAAAGAAAATAATCTGCCTCCTTGTTTTTGTCAGGGAGTACAAGAATTGCCACTTTGCCGTCAGGAGTTGGCGCTGAGTAGAGGGACAGAGAGCGGAAGCGGGAGAGAGAGAGAGAGAGAGAGAAAGAGAGAGAGAGGCGCGTTCAGACTAATGTTGGATTCTTAAGAACAACTTTCCCTTTCTTTTATATATATAGTATATATATATATATATATATATA